CCTGCTGCACTGTCCCAATCCCCTTCTTACAGAGGATGTTACCTATCCCTCAGCTGCTTTCCTCCCACAGCTCTTGGGGCTGGAACATCATTCCTTGTCCTGTTTTATCAAAATTAACAGGGTGGCAGCAGCAAGAATCCTGCCCTATCCACCCTTGTGCCCACTGGACTCAGATGCTGCCCCCAGAATGAGGTGTAGTTACTTTACTTACCACTTCCAGGAGGTAGTTACAGGAGTCGTAGGGTCTGGGAGACCTAATCCACTCCATGAAGAACATTTGACAGGAGAACCAGCGTTGCAACCCCAAGTCAGGGCTGTTTTTTCTACCAGACTCTTGAGAGAGAACTCCTGACCCTTGTACCTGAGTTTTCAGTAGCTGAGCTGTTCCAGGCAGGACCTAAGTGCATTTTGCTACAGTCTTCAGCTGCTTTTCAGGTGGAAGAGCAGAAGGACTCGGGACTTGTACTATCCTCCCTTTTTTGTAATTTTTCAACAAAGTGAAGTTCTTCACCACTGTCAGTGCCCTCAATCTGGTAGTTTTAGCATTAAATGTTAGGCTGGACATCTTTCTGCAGTGCTTGCTCTGCTTCCCGGGCTGCAGAAGCCTTGCCTGTCCCAGGGAAGTGATTGACGCTCAGAAGGAGACATTTCAGAAACCATCTTTGAAGTGTTTCATGCCCATAGAAGATCAGCCTAAGAGCAGGCTCTGAGTGCAGCGACCCTCCCACATAAACCACGGGAGACTCCACCACAACTGTGCTGGGGGAAGCAATGGCTGTTGTCTCAGGGGTCCCCAGCCCTCGTGTCACCCTGCTCCAGAAAAGCTGTTGGGAGTCCAGACAAGCACTTGGAAATAGTAAAAATAGTGGTTCCCCTTTATCATGATTTTGTGTCTGTGTGGTCCATAGACATGACAGTGCAAAACACAAAGGTAAGTAATGACTCCTCTTCACATCCCCTCTTTGGGGGGTGTCAGCCACCTGTAGCCCCCTTTGAAACTCCTGGGCACTCAGTGCTCCTGGTATTATTACAAGTCTTGCTCATCTCCTGGGCTCTACCACATATGATGTTTCCTTCCATAATTAACTCACAGATAATTCACAGAAAGCCCCAGAGAGCTCTAAACCTCTCAGTGTCTCAGAAGCAAGTGAGCTGAAGCCTGAGCAACAACGCAGACTGTGGACTGGTGCCTCGGTAAGAAGTGAGCTCTGCTCTTTGGCCACATCCCTCCTAATTCCCACACCCAGGCTGATGCACGTGGAGTTGCTGAAACTGGTCAAGTCTGTAATAAAGTTTTGAAATGAGAGCTACAGTGGCTTGATAAGAAACACTGCGCCACCTGAGACAGATCACCAGGATGCACAGGAAGATAAGTTCACATTGTGATACTGGTATTTTTCCCCCCAACATTATAGTTGATTTTGTCTTGGGAAATGCTCATTAAAAAAAAAAAAAAAAAAAGAAAAAAAAAGATATCCAGCATGGAATTAACTCCATTAGTATCACAAATTGTCCTTAAAAGATCAAAAGTCCTCATTCTGAGAACTGTGGAAGGTGAAGAAATGCATCTTTGTTGTATGTCCCCAGCTGCAATATTCTAGCCCCTCCTTCCTGTTTTGCTACCCATTATTTTTCCATTAGGATGTGCTCTGGCACTTCCTGTATCACCACCTCCAGCGACTGACCCTCAATCCCTACGACTTGGGCTTGCCCTTCAGGGCACCGTTGGGCACTGGCACCGTCGTGCTGTATTCCAGGTCTGGAGCAGTCTTGGAGAAGGTGGCTATGGAAACCATGTCTTCTCCGATGTCCACCTGGGACCTGTGCCTGCAAATGAGCAGCTTCTTCAGGGCCCGCTGGAAGTCCCTGTTCAGGAAGGCGTAGAGCATCGGGTTGATGGTGGAGTTGCAGTATCCCAACCAGGTGATGATCTTGAAGGCGTCGACCAGGACCGTGCTGGTGGAGTCGGTGCCCCTGGCAGCGAGCCAGACGTTCAGGACGAAGTAGGGCAGCCAGCAGAGCACGAAGACCGAGATGATGATGCTGATGGTCCTCGTGGCCTTGTTCTCCAGCTGCAGGTGGTTCTGCCGCTTGCTGTTGGGGTGGTAGTGAATCTCCAGGGTCTGGGACATGATGCGGGTGGCCTTGAGCCGCGAGGCTCGGTAGATGAAGAAGTACATGCTGCACATCACCATGAAGGGAACGAAAAACGCCAGGGCAGAGGCCACGATGGCAAAAATCCAGTTGGTGACAAAGATGCATTCCCTGCCCGCATCAAAGTCCACCCCGGGGATCTCGTTCCAGCCTTGCATGACAGGAAGGAAGGAAATGAGGGAGGAATACACCCAGACTGTGCAGGTCATCACAATGCACCTGCCAAAGGAAAGAGACGGGGAGGGGAGAGAAGGGTCTGAGTAATTTTGAGTGGAGAACATCCAGTACGATTCAATCCCCATGGTAACGTGTGTGGGATATCACTGCTCAGCAGTCCAGCAAGGCTTGGAGAAGGGAAAGGGCTGGGGTACAAGTCCAGACGTGGATATCTCTAACAACTGGGTAATTGGTCGGTGGTTTACAGAATTGGGGTCGGTATAAGGAATGCTCAGAGCTGGTTGAAAAAAAGAGGAGGAAAGGTTTTACAGAGGGTGTTTGTTACTATTTAAAACAGCAGTGTGTGGATTTCTCTGTTTGGTTTCAGCTTTAATATCTGGCCATTATCTCCCCCTCTGAGGCTTGGTGGGGGTAGAGCTGATGGACACGTCACAGAACCTGTGCACAGCCCCTTCACTTCTGCTACTGCACACGCTCCACAAATCTTACACAGCAAGGGGTACAGAGGCAGAAAAACATGCCCAAAAGAGCCTGAACCTCAATGCTGCAGTGTCGTCTCTGCCCACCCTCAGATGACTTTCCCTACCCTTCAGTTCTCATTTCGACCTTTCATATGAAACCAACCCAGGAGCTTATAAACTCTTCTGGTTTTCCCTGAATATCACTTCAGAAAACATGGTAAATTTAAGAAAGGGAAGACTAGTGCTACATGCATTCTTCTGGGTCTCTTTCCCCTAGTCCTTGGAAGTGCTTCAAAGTCCTTCCCTATCCATGGCAGTGTTCAAGGCCAGGCTGAATGGGGCTTTGAGCAGCCTGGTCCTGGTTAAGATGCCCCTGTCCATGGCAGAGAGGTTGGAGAGCTGGATGATCTTTAAGATCTCTTCCAACCCAAGCCATTCTACAATTCTATGAAATGCCCATGCCTGCAAAGGGCAAAAGTTTTAAGTCCAATCTACCCATTTTGCAACCCATTCTTAGCTCAAAAACTGCTTTTCCAGGAGTACCATCAAACCAGTTCAGCTGCATCCTCCTCTTCTCTGGCACCACATGGAACATTTTCAGCAGAGTTTTAAACAGTGCAAAGATCTTTTTGCCACAACACTTTGCTTCTGGGCAGCAGCTGTCAGCAGCTCATTTGGTCCAAAATCAGTGTAGGCCACGGCCAAGTGACAATTTGGAGGGACCCAAAGTGAGAAGCAACTCCACTCACCTGCCACGGGACATCCTTCTGGAGTAGTGGTAGGGGGTCACCACGGAGCAGTATCTGTCCAGGCTGATGAAGCACAGTGTGACAATGGATGCAGTGCAGAACATGACATCAAAGGAGATCCAGACTTTGCAGAAAAGCTTCCCAAACAGCCACATCCCTGTCACCTCGTAAATGATACTGCGAGAGAAAACAGGGGGAAATAAAAGCTCGAAGGGCTGAGTTTGTGCATTCCCTGGAAGTGTTCAAGGCCAGGTTGGATAGGCCTCTGAGCAACCTGGTCTAATGGAAGGTGTCCCTGCCCATGGCAGGGCCTTGGAACTGGATAATCTTCAAGGTCCCTTCCAATCCAAATCATTTTGTGATTCTATTTCTTGCTGACTGCAGGGAGGTAAAGCCATATTTTATCATGGAGGCGCTAAAGATGGGGATGCAGCTCTGAGAGCAGCCATTCATCCTCAAAGCACAACCCAGGGCAATAACCCACAGGTGGAGCATGGCTAAAGAAGACCAAACCTGTTCTTCTTGCCTGCACCCTAAGTGGGTGCCTTGAGAGAGGGGCTTTGCCCCACAAAGGTCCCCAAATTTACATCCGCACAGCTTTGTTTATCACAGCTTTTTTTTTTTTTTCAGTGCTCTAAGAAATTCATTTTACATCTGATCTCACCCTTCAAAACTAGAGGATTTCAGCTCTTGGTCAAAAAAAAAAAAAAATCCTAGTAGGAAGACTATGCAGCTTGTACATTATGTAGCTCATAAATGCCTCAGTGAGGTAAACACACTAGAAAAAAACCAGACATTACACCAAAAATACTTCCAGCAAAGTCAAGAGGGGCCTGTGAGAAGTGAGCAGCGAGGGAAGGAACATATGGCAGCTGTAGGAAGGCTGATGCATATTTCTATAGCATTCAATGAGATGCCATTCACTTTCCCTTTCTTTCACCAGCTTTCTGCGACTCCTGGGGTGCTGCTGAAATCACTGTTGTGCGTGAATTTGATGAGTAACTCCCTAGTCTTGCAAAGCTTAAATTATCCTGTAACTTCCCGGCTCGCTGGTTAAAGGCAGTGAGATCAAGGCTGCTGCTCTGCAGAGCTCAGGCGGGCTCTGCTTCCAGCAAGGGCAGAAAGAGTAACGTGATGTCAGAGGAGGGAGAAAACAGTGCCTGGCCTACACTTGATTGGCAACAGCTCATTAGAATTACTTGTGAAGGTTGTTCCAGAGCACAACAACTGCTGTAGGTGGGTGCAGTGCAGCTAAAAGGTCCCAGCCCATGGTGTTTTGCTATGGGGGATGACCAGCAAAAATTCAAGCAAACTGGATCTACAGCAGAGACTGTCCCTGCACTGTGGTGGTCCCTATGTGGGCATCATGGAGGGTCCCTCTGCACACACATGGAAAGGTTTCATGGCTCTTGAGATTAAGGCACCAGGGGACAACCTTGTTTTTCCTTTCTGTCATATTTTCCCGAGCCCAACTGGCTCCTAAGGTCACTTCTTTCCCTTCTCTTTGGCATGTGCTAACATGCCAGCTGAGGAGCAAACTGAAATTCGAAGGAGCAACACAGATAGGAAGCCAAGACAGTAGGAAAGATGGGATACAACAACCACTCTATCAGCAGTCACTGCTCTTAATGCAGTCCTCAGCTCACATTCCCCAAACACTTGGAGCCTGAAAAATCATCTACCAACCATGCTGGCCCCATGTGCAACAGAGAGCTACTCCTGGAAGAGGGGACTCTGCCCTGGAGCCACATGCAAAGCTGGATATCTAATTCAGGGGACCCATAATACAGGGTAGAGACACGGAAGCACAAATAATCACCAGCCCACAGTTAAGTCCAGTCCTAAGCCCAGCAGGTGAACTGCCAGCCAGCCCCGCTCAAAGAGCAGATGCAGAGCCAGGAGAAAGGACATTCATGCACATGTCACCGTGTGCTGTCACTGCACCAGCTCTCCTCACCTGAAGGGCATGACCAGGCAGGCCACAAGGAAGTCTGCCGTGGCTAAGGACATGATGAACATGTAGGTGACAGTGCGCAGCCTCTTCTCCACCACGGGGCAGATGAAGACCACGGTATTTCCCAGGAGGGTGATCAGGTCGATGAGGGTGAGGATCAGCCCAATGACCACCTCCTGGAGCCCGATCCCTCCCCTCACAAAGGAGGAGGCAGCAGAGGAGAAATTGGAGAGCCAAGTTTCATTTTGGTCCATCAGCATCTTCCCACTGTTAAAATCTGAAAGAGAGGAAAGGGGAAAAACAAGATTACTTTCATGCACGACTTGTAGGTGCGTGAAATGAAGGACACAAATATTGTTCATGCTTTATTTACTCCAAGGAAAATCCACGCACCCTGCTGTGCCTGTGCCATCACTGTCCATTAGAAGTATTTGAAATCCAAAGGGTGAGGATAAATGTGCAACACTGGCTGAAGTCCTTCACGGCAATTAAAGGCTCTTCTGTGAACAAAAATGCATCATCAGATGAAGTGTGAGACCAAAAAAAAAAAAAAAAAAAAAAAAAAAAAAAAAAAAAAAAAGAAAATGAAAGCAGCTGGGCTAAATCCCACTGAACAACACGCCACATCCACAAAGTGTGGGGGATGGAACTAGATGATCTTTAAAGTCCCTTCCAAACCTAAACCATTCTATGATTCTGTATTCTTATCATCATCATTTTTTTGCCACCCCCAGACCAGCTGAGGCTGCTTGCCCAGGCTGGCTGCCCCCATAACCCCACTGTCCAGCCCATGCCCTGCCCTGGATTGTCCTGGTGCTTTTTCAGGCTCTGAAGTTAAGAGGTTTTTTACTGCCATCGTGGGCAGCTTCATCTTCCAGTCTGAATGGCCATGCAGGGCTGCCTGCAACCACACAGGGAGCTTAATCATTTTTCAATTTGGATTTTCCAGTTGAGGAAATTCATGTGTTTGTGTCCACAGCTCAGTTCCCAGACTTTGACAGAGTGGTGTCACGAGTACCTGGGAAGGTGGGAATGATGTGCTGCAGAAAATCCAGCAGTTCAAAACACACTGGTGTGTCCAAGGGCAAAGCCAAAACCTGTGGGGAAAAGGGAAGTATAGAATTATTTCCAGATGTCAAATTGCTGTATTTAAATGCCGTCAGTTCTCCTGTGACTGGGCTCTGCTTGCATGGCACCCTCAGGTCAATCCCACATGTCCAGGGCATCTCTGCTGAGTGCAGCCTGAGGATGGGTCTAGATAAACATCCCCGTAGTCCTACATGTCTCATCTCACAGTGGCCAAACTCTGCCTTAGGAGCATGGTAAGAACAAGGTAGCATGCAGCAAAACATCCCCAGTATCTGTGTTTCCTTCCAGCAGCCTATGATCCAGAATTACCTCTAAAGATGGTTTTGAGAACTTCCTAAATCATGAAGTTGTCCTGCTTCC